TGGCATTAAACACCATTAGAGAGATCAGTGGGAAAATTTTAAAGTTTAGGATAGTTTTGTGAGACTCCCTAAAATTCAATAAAAAAAAAAGGGAAGCCCCCAAGTTTTGGGTTATTTTAACTTTAACTTATCTATATAACATATATGATAAGAAGACTATAGAAAAAAACCATATGGTTTTTAATATGTTTTTGAAATATAGGATAGGCTAAACAACTAATCTATACTATTTTATAAAAATCTTTGTTAGGTTAGGCAAAAGTGAAGGAATGATTGAAAATTCCTCAATCATCCATACTAATTATATATCAATCTATATTACTATATAAAAATCTTTGTGAGTGTAGACCAACCTGGAGGAATGATTGAAACTTTCTCAATTTTTAGTTGAGTTGTTAGGTAAATTTATGTTCTGTGTTATGCAAATTGGTAATTTTAAATTGAATAGACATTTTGTCCATTTATTCTCTCATTAAATGCATGCCTCCACTCCCCACCCCACCAAAGGTTATCTTATTTTCATTCTCTCTCTCTCTCTCTCTCTCTCTCTCTCTCTCTCTAAAAGGTTATATCATTTTCATTCTTCCATCTCTTTCTTTTATGGATCTTCCATAGGGGTGGCGGTTGAGCTGGGTTGGCCCAAAACCCATAATGAACTAGCCTGTTGTGGGTCGGGTTTTACCCAGCTTAATAGAATGCAGGTTTGGTTTGGCTCGGCTCGATCTCAAAGTGAGTCCAGTATGAGTCTATTTCTGAAACTCAGGCTGAACTCGAACCTCCGGCCTACAAACCCAACCCAGCTCGAATCGGGCCTCAGCTATCACTAAGTCCGGAACCTAACTTGCATCCATAATAACATTAGTTTTTAGTAAAATAAATTAGTTATTAGTAACTAGCTATTGTTAACTATTTAGTATTTTTAAAGCAAAAAATTGGTATGTCGAGTCCAAAACCTTCCTCAACAAAATCGTTACCAATTGGTCAAAATTTATTTAAATCAAGTTTTAAAAAGTCAAAAAATAAAAGAAAGAAAAAGAAATGAAAAGTAGTGGGTTGGGTTGCCCAATCCAGCCCAACTCGAATGGTTAGGTCAGTGTGCCGGGTTGGGTTATGTTCCTAGCTGGGATGTCCAGGCTTTGGCTCGAACAGAGCTCAAGGTTAGCTCGGATCAACATGGCCTGGATCAGCTCGAAACATGTGGGCTTGGGCCCGGGTTGGCCCAGCCCGACCTAATCGCCAGCCCTAATCTTTCATCTCTTTCTTAAATTTAAAATTTTATACATAAACCTTTTAGAAATTATATAATTGACAAAAGTTAAAAAGCAACATAGTGTAATGTAGATTATGACATATTTTAAACGAGGGCGTTACTTTACACGTCTATAACATATAATTAAAAAAATATTTTAAGAACTAAAAATTTATACTTTTCATAATTATGGAAATAATTTTTTAAAGATTAGATGAAGTTTTCTTATCTAGAATAGCTGTTGTTACTTTAATCTAAAATCATAAGAATTTTCTTATTAATTTGATCACATGACGTGAGTTATGCACGTGCATATTATACTAGACATCTTGTAAGTGCGCATTAAATAATAATAATAATATAATTAAAATGTAGGACCCACGATTATTTAGAAAAAATTGATGTTACTAACACGTGCATTTGAAAATGCTAATATACTAGTAGGAAAATAAAAGTCTCATCTAACATTTCTGGCTAAATGACACCTAAATACCATAAAGTTTTCCTATTGTGGTACTAAATCGTAAAAAATAACATTTTAATATCCCAAGTTCTAAAAAAATAGTACTTTAATATCCTAAGTTGTAAAAAAATGACGCTTAAATACCATATTATTTCACAACATTTACACTTAAATACCTTAAGTTGTAAGAAAGTAGCACTTTAATAAGCTAAATTGTAAAAAAATAGCACTTTGATATTCTAAGTCATAAAAACATTTCTAAGAATTTTCTCATGAAAACTAACAAAAGGTGCTAACGTGCTAATATTTTAGCACTTTGCTAAAGTGTTACCTTTTATAACTTACGTTAATTAAGTGACACACTGAGACAACTTTATAGTATTTAAGTGCCATTTACCCAACATTTATCTGGAAAAAAAAGGGATCATCTCCTTTTGTTTTCCCCAAATAAAATTGGAACCGGAGAATTTTTCCTCCATCTCCTCTAAGGGGCTGTTTGGTTGTATGTTTTTACCATGTAAAAGGATGTAAAGTGTAAAAAAGTGGGTCCCAATGTCAGCTTTCATCACTTTCAATTGTTTGTTTGTAGTTGTGAAAATAGTGTAAAGTGGTTTCATATGCTGATGTGGCTTGTAAAGTGATTTCATGAAAAAAAGACATGATTTTAGGAGAAAGCTAACATTGAAGTTAGGAAAAAATAATAAAAAATAATTCTAACAAATATGATCATTTGAGTAGGGACCACTTTTTACACTTTCCAAACAAACAATTAAAGTTTTATTTTACAAACCAAACAAGTGTTTTATGATTCCAATGGAATCAAAAACAAACAAAGAAAAGTATAAAAGTAAAATTGATGAGGTGGTGGACAACAACTTTCCAAGTTGTGTCATAAATACACAACTTTACCAACAACAACCAAACAGCCCCTAACGGGTTTCGAATATAACCTGATACTCGTGGATCTGGATCTGACCCGAACCGTTCCGCCCTAAAACCCTCAGGTTCTCTCTTTACCGGAAGATTCTAGGGTTTTAGCTCATCACTTTCAACTCCTTGAGAAATTACGATCGATCCCCGATGTTGAGAAAGAGATCCTCGTCAATTCTCACTCTCAGGGCCCTCTCCAAGGTCAGTTCTCTTCCTCTCCTCTTCCGTTCTTCAAATTATAGGTCCATTTCGCAGAACGCACAAGTTGCTAGGGTTTTCGATGGAGGGCAGAATCCAAATGGAGTTTCAGGCGGAGATTTCTATGAAAGGGGAGATCTTGCGTATGGTAACCAATTGAATTCAAGTGGAATGAGCGCTGCTGGCGTGGGTTGTCAGCTGAATCCGAATGGATTTCGAGGATCGAGTTCGAATGGGGTTTATGGAGGAAATCAATATGGGCAAGAAAGAAGGGATCTTGGAGAGGTTTGTCAGTGGGAATCAAATGGGTCAAGTGCGCCACTGAGGAATTTGAATGGGTTTCATGGCCAGAATCCAGATGGCTATACAAAAAGTAATTTTGTGGTTCGGCCGGTGAATATACTGAGTAATTATCAAGATCCTAATGCAGTTTACAAGGAAAACCACAGAGATTCATCGAATTTCTATCCAAGTTCTGGTATTTCTCACGATGGATTTGGCTCTGGAGGACCTTCTCAGAGTGCGTATGGAGAAAATGGTTATCAAGGAATGCCCAATCAAGATTCCTACGGGCATAACAGAGAGAGCACCTTGCCTGCAGGTCAGCATAACTTAAGTCAATCTCCTTTAGCTGATAGTTTGTCTCAAACGGGTGAAAGTGTCACTTACAAGGGCACCCTCATTGAGCTTGATGAGTTCTGTAAAAAGGGCGATGTCACAGAAGCAGTTGAAGTTCTTCATTTGCTAAGGAATAATGGTGTGACCGTGGATCTCCCAAGATATTTGACGTTGTTGCAGACTTGCGGAGAGACCAAATCTCTAGAAGAAGCAAGAATTGTCCACAATCACATGGATGAAGTAATGGGTGAGCTAGGAGTTGCAGTTAATAACAAGATGTTGGATACATACTCTACGTGCGGTTCGATGGTTGATGCTTACCAACTGTTTGAGAAAATGCGCCATAGAAATTTGACATCTTGGGATACTATGATAAATGGCCTAGCGAATAATAATCTTGGGGAGGAAGCAATTGATCTCTTCACTCAGTTCAAGGAGAGAGGATTGCAGCCAGATGGAGAACTATTTATTGCTGTGTTCAATGCTTGTGCTACTTTAGGAGCAGTTGATGAAGGAATTTTGCATTTTGAATCAATGAAGGAGAAATTCAGTATTGCGCCTACAATGAAACATTATGTTAGCCTTGTAGATATGCTTGGAAGAAGTGGTTATTTAGACGAAGCTCTTGAGTTTATTGACAAGATGCCTGTTGAGCCAAGTGTTGAAGTTTGGGAAACTCTGATGCATCTTTGTAGAGTTAATGGATATAAGGAGCTTGGAGATAGATGTTTTGAGATTGTGGAACAACTCGACCCCTCAAGGTTAACTGAGCAGACCAAGATGGGTCTTTTTCCTATTAAAGCATCTGACATGCAGAAAGAAAGGAAAAATAATTCTGACCCTTTCGCTGTTAGACGCCACACACATGAGTTACGTGCAGGGGATAGATCTCATCCAGAGTCAGACAGGATTTATGCACAGCTACGAGCTTTGTTACCGAATATGAAAGAGGCTGGCTACATTCCAAATACTAACCCTGTGCTCCATGACATCGACCTAGAAGCTAGAGGGGAAGCTTTGATGGCCCATAGTGAGAAGCTAGCTGCTGCTTATTTTCTCTTTACTTCCCCACCTCGTCAACCTATGAGAATTATTAAAAACCTACGCTTTTGTCCGGATTGCCATGAAGCAATGAAGATCATATCAAAGCTTACAGGTCGTTTAATTATTTGCAGAGATGCGAAGAGGTTTCACCATTTTGAGAATGGGGTCTGCTCTTGCAGGGACTATTACTAAAAGGGAGTAGGTATGTATCTGTCAAAAGTTAAAATATAACTTTCTTTCCTGCTTTGCACTCACTGAGGCATTGAAATATTATAGATTAAGATTCCTTTTGTTAAAGTTTCCTGCAATTGTGAAATTTCATTTATCTGCATGTTAAATCTTAGTGGAGTGTTTAAAGCAAGATTGTCGCTTAGGTAAACTTGTGCAATCAATATGTTTAGATTTTTTGTAATCTTCTCCAAACTTTTCTGCTTTTCAGTTCCTTTATCTTCTCTACTCATATCTATGTGACACTTATATTTATCTTCTTATTAAATTGTGGCAAGTCCCATTAATTTCAGTAATCAATTCAGATATAAGGAACTATATTTACTTTAAAACACAAATTTCCAAAATTTCCTCTGGTCAGTGTTCTCAAATGCGATATGTTGGGAGCAAGATGCATACATACACACCATATCTTCTGCATATCTGGCTGCTAACTGAGAAGAAAGTCAGAACGGAAGAAGAAAGAGGAGTTGGTCGCTGTTATCTTGCTGCTGCGGAGAATGGAGGAGCTAACATCGGAGAGAGAATTAGGGGAGGATTCTGTCTATTGACTGCAAAAGTGCAAGCCTTTTGAAATCTGTCATCCTTCAAACTTAGAAATGGGTGAGTTAGATCAGGTTGAGTTGGCTATATCTGACTTATTATCCTTAACCTTATCCACTCTCTTTTCCTCTCTCATACCTCATCAAACTGGGAGTACATGGAGGAGCACTGACAGTGAAGACACAGATAACTTCCAAAAACTAGCCTTGAGCAGCAAGGCATAACACCAGAAACAAGGTTTCACCTTATTTCTGTACAATTTCTGTTCTGTCTTTACCAAGTAAATGCTATAGCCTCGTTATAGCCATTTCAGCATCAGACACCATAATGTTAGGTATGCTGTGATCAAATCAGACTATGACAAATTAGAGTCACAATCTCCTTATCTTATAGTAAGAAGAGAATAGTACAAACTTTTTTCTTTGTCCTTTGGTAAGTCTGTTCTTTTCCTCTCTTGTGTTTCTATTATCTAAAGTCTAAATATGTTTCCTGCAAATATAAGAAACAAAATCTTATCTAAACACTTCCAAGTATTTGCTTTTTCTTATTGAATCTTTGGTTATATTACATAATTGAACACCAACGATGAAGTGGAATCTTCCTCACTGAAATGGCTTACCTTCGCGATATTTAATCGTGAGTTATTCTAATCAAATGATAGCATGTTGGATCTTAATATATCTTTGGATTTTATGAGATACTGCGTAGTAGTAGTAGTGGCTTATGCTACTTATTTTTTGCTATTCAAAATCTGTATACTTTGAAATGTTAGATTTCTCTGGGGTTCTTAGCATGTGGAAGTTCATGTCCCTAGTTCTTATTTATGACTTCAGTGACAAATAAAAAAGAACCACTTTACTAACTGATCACGTATAGAAATGATGAATAAGTTTTAGCTAATAAAGCATATTACAAGATATATTGTGTTTATCCGGAATGGTGAGTCTGGTCTGGTGTCACCGTTATCAACTTGTTATCTTCAGGCTCCCTCTCAAATCCTTTTTGACAGTTGCACGGTTTACTACTTTGCCTTTACCACTAACTTAAACTGTTGTTTGTCAACAGAGGCATTCTCATCTTGCCCTAAGGTACTATGACCTTTGAGCAATCTTTCGGTCCACTATAATCCTTCAGTCAGATACCAGTGTTTATCTAATATTCTTGCTTCCATTTTTCACTGTTATACCCATGAGTATGATCAATTGATGCAGAAATGAATTTCACTTACTGTACGTATTATTTCCTTTATTAGTGAGGCACTAAAGACCTTCTGCTACTTAGGTACCTTGAAATTCCAAAATCCAAACTCAGGAACGTGCTGATTTTTCCTTCTTATGATTCCCCTTGATATCACACTTATTATTCTCTCTTTTAATTCATATTGATAGAGCAACTTGCTCTAGTGAAACAAAATTATGGAAAAAATGCAAAATATAACACTAGCTAGGATAATTTAAGCAAAGCCTACAGTACTACAGCGTGTACAGCTGCAGTGAAAACAGGCAACTTATTATCTGTGATAACTATTATTAAGTTTAAGTGTGTAACAACTTGACCAGAAAAAAGTTCATCATTTAGAACAACAACCTAAATCCTATATCCATACCAGCAGCTTTGAAAAAACTTTGCCTTCATCCAAAAATTTGGATTATCTACACAAGAGGCACTTAATTGCCACCTTAAAAAGAATAGGTTAGGGGCACCAATGTGGTGCTGATGGATGTTGTGCCAAACTCATAATGTTTACTTAATATTCTCAATTTTAGTCCCTCTAATAATTAGGTCAAATCTCTGAAATAATTAGGTCAAATCTCTGAAGTTATGGTGAGAGTTGAGGATCATAGTTTTATATTAATTCTAACATGCCCTTGTAGGTTGATCACCCTTTTTATGGGCTGAAAACCTAGACTCATGCAGCGGTAGCAATTTTTTAAAATCCGCATTAAATTTGTGGTCAACAAGATTCGAACATGGGTTGCTCTGATACCATCTCAAATTTACACAAAAACAGTGAACTTATGGTGAGGGTTGAGGATTATAGTTTTATGTTAATTTTTAACAAATATGAAATCAAATATATGCCGAATGAATCAGTTTGGGAGTAAGGATTCTAATCAATGCCGTCTCTATGTGTGATAGTGGTACCAGTTATCCTTTGGTATGTTTGTCCATGCTTTTTGTCCGACCACTTATTCGAGGACTTCTGTAGTTATATTTAGAATATCTGGGAAGACGCAAAAGGAAGAAAGTAGGGGGGGGGGATGAAAAGAGAAGAAGGAAGTGGAAACAGAAGAAGCAGGGCCGTACCTAGGAATTTTGGGGCCCAAGGCGAAATATTGGATGAGGCCTAAGTGATACAACTCATAATACATTTTATCTCATTCTTCTTACCTTTTGAGCGGCAAAATTACATATTATTTTCAATATCTTGTAACATGGTCGATCTTAAATAAGATTTTAGTAATTTTAATTTTGAAAAACTTCTTTCAGCGGAAGCAACTGTTACGAGTATAGTCAATAGTACACGATAAGCAATACAAGTATTTAGAAAATAATCTAACCACTTTATATAGTTCAACACTTCAATTGGACTATTAATCTCTATTTTTAAAATTTCCCTAAGCACTCTCAATTCTGAAAACAAATCAAGTCCATTAATATCTAAATGTTCATCATGTTTTAGTGCATTTTCGAGATTAAGATAATATGCTTTCAATTCAATATAATCTAAAGCTTTTAATTTTTTTCAAATCAAACAAAAAACCAAATTTTTTTTCATACGTTTTAAATTGTTCAAACCTACTTTCAATTGAGCCAAGCGATTTATCAACTATGTATAGAAATATTCAATACGAAAAGATTCTTCAGCGTTAAATGTTGTTTCATTACCAATATTTCATCAAATTGTTTTTTTCTATGAATTTTACGTTTTTCACAAAATATAGGTTGTACGTCATTTAATTAGCAAGTTCTTTAGTTGAATTCAAAGCAGATATAAAAGCATTTTGTCTATAATTTTCTAAATATACAATAAGACCCTTTAATTGATCTATGACAATATCAATATGCATATATTTAGATTGTAAGATTTTACTAACTGAATTAACAGCAAACAATATGTCATACCAAATATTCATAGCTATTAAGAATTCAAAATTTTCAATCTCATAAGTTGCTAAGCTATAATTAACTTCACTTTTTATCTTTGGATCTTCACTTTTTAAATAGGGTTAGCTTTATGCTTAAGTAACTAAGTTACATATATTATATATATGGGTGGGTGGGCCTTATCCAACTTGGGGCCCAAGGCAAAGGCCTTAGTTGCCTTATGCTAGGGCCGGCCCTGAGAAGAAGCTATATATATGCTAAGTGATGCATGTGGATGTGTGTATTCCGATTAGTGCATAAAAATAGATTTCATGTATTCCCAACAATACTTAAAGTAACTGTTTCTACTGATGACAATTTTCAAAAGAGAAGTCATTTGCTTCAAATCTGCTTGTGTTGAGAACCCATAAAAGGTTTATTTATTATTTTTTCTTCTGTAAATATCAGTTATTCTGCCAGTAACTGCTTTCAACTTGGAGCAGATCGGCTTAATCAGAAGAAAAGAAAGGAAAATAAAATTTTGTTTTCATATTTTGGACTCATCTTTTCGTCTACTTCATTACAGGATGGATGTGTTTAACCTACTAATGAATATGGCAGCGTCTGTGCCGTATGTTTTGTTCGGAGATTACATTGTCAGGCTAAGTTATTCATCTCAACAACACACAAATCTCAGTAAGCAACGATCTGAGTTTGCCTGCAATCAGGTTCCACAAGGCCGAAGTTGGCTTTGCACGCGGCACTGTCGTCTCCCTTCTGTATCATATCGTCATCTAATAACTCATGATCTTCTCAAGTTAATTTCTTTATACTGCAGCAGGACAAGTTGAAATTGTCATTTTATTATAATTGTAACCATTTGGAAAATACTGAGGGAAATAAAATTTTTACGATTCATAATCCATGACGTGCTTTGTTTTGGGCCTTCCTGTTAGTTTGAAGGGCTCCTTCCCATTCAGATCTTCATAATTTCTTCCTAATTTGCTATGGATATTGTTCGCTTTTCTCAGTACTTGGGTTTTTGTGAGCGCTATAACTTTGAACTTGATGACTGTTTTTTTTCTTTTTCTTTTTTTAGAAAAGACTTATGCATAGGTATGATACGGCTCAGATATGATACTTATCATATTTATATTCGCTTACCCATCTCGGATACGGATATATCTCGGTAAGGAATATTCATATCCATATCCGCTAAAATCAGATACGGATATGGACATACATGCGGATATGTAAGTGGATACAAAGCGGATATGAGAAAACTGAATACTATTGAGAAAAAATGTAGTTTATACGATACAAAAGAATTCATTAATATGTTTATTGTATCTGAAAAGCTAATATTTAACATCTTGATCATCAAAATTAACCTCAAATCTATATTCTAAGAATTAAAACTATCGTAATGGTATGATTAATATGTATTCGTATATTTCAGATACGGATCCGAATATTTCATTACAAAACTATATCCATAATCATATCCTATCGATTATTGATTTGAGTAACCATATCTGTATCCTGAATACGATTATGAATATTTTTTAGGATATGGATACGGTTTAGCACCTCTACTTACACGCATATAAAGCTTTCATGAAGAGGAAAGGTCGTAGCTATAAGTTTGGTGTTTTTATTTTACTAGGTGGAAAGCACGTGCACTACACGTGATCAAATATTATAATTATTTACTTTAAGTTTATTTATTTACTATAACATTGTTGCAAAAAATTTATAATTATCATAATATATTAAAATTTTTTGGATATTTTCATGTGTGATTTTAACATTTTGTCTTCCCGAGAAATAGTGATGTTTAAAGCCTTAAAATATTAATGATTTAAGATTAATTAGTAATTTGAATGTATAATTTCAAAATATTAATGATGTAAGGGATCAATACGGAAAAAACCTATTATTATTATTAATAAATAAATTCTTGAGTTCATCAAGGAAAATGGTAGGTTTTATCTAGTCATTAAGGATTTTGTTCAGTTATAAAAAAATCACTTCCATCTGTTATTTACTTCCACCTGTTGTTTATCTGGCGATCGAGTATTATAGATATTCAAAAACTTTTTTCTAGAATTTTCTAAGTTAGAATGTGCAAATTTAATCAAGAAAGAAAAAACAAATTATGTGATCAATTCTAAAATCTAATGTTGTACTCTTTTTACATCTTCCCAACTACTAATTGATCTGTCAAAATAATTACTCCCTAGTTTCAGAAAATTATAAAATATAGTTAGGAATAATTTGTACATATTATGTATTCATATTGATTGTATTTTAACAAAATAATTCATATTTATCCAATGTCAAACAACATCTAAAAATGTAGCTTAATGAGTTAAAAGAATACAATATCTCCAATAATACTCATATCCAAGCTATGAGCTTCATAAACTTATAAGAATGTGAGCAATATAAAATGATAACTTAATTTACTTTGTCAAATAATTTATTACAAATCATGAAAGACATGGGGAATCAGAATGATCATATACCCATCCTAAATAAATATTAAATTTCTCTTAGAGATTCTTGAAGCAAAAGTTTTTTAGAGTTGATGTGTAGGATAAATTTAAGGACAAATAACCCAAATGAATTAATTGAGTGATAGACTTGCTATAAACTCTACTCTTATAAAATTGATATCACATGTGCCTTAAGTTGTGCTTTTGTTTAAGAGTTAATTTTAGAAAAATTTCCCTCAACTATGAAGGGCATGAGCCCAAGTTTTGGGTGTTTTGTAGATAATCTATCTCAACTTAAAAAAAAATTTGATTTTAACCCCAGTGAACTTTTCTCACTTAAACATAACCTCTAAAAACTACCATTATTGAGTCTTATCTATTATGTGACAAGTACTTGACTTGGAAAGACTAAAATATCAATCAATCATAAAAGAATTATCTTAGTTTTTGCAAGATAAAATAGGTGATATAGAGAGAAAAGGAATTGTTAATTGGTTGTGATCCTTTTATTATCGGTTGAGGGGTTCTTTTTAATTAAAATTGCTTTCTTTGAGAGGGTATTTTGTCCAAATCACATATCGAAGTAACTATGCTAAGGGGGTTTGTTGACAGAAGTGCTAAAGATTAGGGGAGTTTTTATGAGATACTCTATAGTTGAGAGGTGTTTTCTAAAATTACACCCAAAATTGAGATGGGTAATCTATAACACCCCACATAATGAGGGAGTTTTGATAAATTGAATCAGTTGAGTGTGTTTTTTAATACAATCCCCATAGTTGAGAGGGTTTTTAAAAATTAGCACTTCTTTTAAATATGACTTATTTATAATTTATCCCTCAAAATTTTAATAATTTAATATTAGTCCCTAAAATTATGAGCAATTTTAAAAATTTGTGAGAGTAACATAGAATCATTGGATATTAAAATCAAAGAACTAATATCTAAATAATATTTACATATTTTCTCTTATAGGCATTCTATTAAATATCGACCAACATATTGCTATATCGGCCAATATATCGGGTTAAGGACCTTATCTCAGTAATATTTTATATTATTTTCTTTTGTTTGTTGATTTTTTTGATATGTCGTCCGTTATCGAAAATATGGCTGATATATCCTTTTGAAGATATCAAGAAAATCATGTCATTTTTAATTTGATTGTGGGCTTGGGTTTAGATCATGTTTGAGAAACAAAATTGGAACCCGCAAAACCCACAAATGCCACAATTCTTCTCCAAATCTCTCCACTTTAGGCTCTCTCAAATCTTAATCATATATCTTGATGCAAATTCTTATGTTTAGAATTCATTAATATGTTAGGTTACATATTACAATGTCATGTTATGTATGAATGTTATCTCATATGACACCCAATGTTACATACATATCCCTGATTTTTGCAACCGATGTCATGGATATTATTTTTTTAATATTTATTCGATATCCAACACTTTGTAGTAGTCCTTCAAAAGCCTCTTCTAAAGTTTTCTAAGCAAAGTATATAATTTTAAGAAATAATTCAAAATCTCGAGACTCATTCAAAATATGATGCTTTAATTTTTACACATCTCCTCTACTGTATAAATATAAGCTAAGCATCTGGCCTTATATTGTATGATGAATATTTTTTTATCAGTGAGATCATATACTATTGTTTGTGGATAACAAATGTATCAAATCTTTTATAGGCTTAACTGAACTTAAATACCTTATAGTTTACCAAAATTATACTTATATACCTCTACTTGTATCTTGATGCACTTTTTTTTTCAATTTTAGATAACATATCTTGTTGTAGTTAAATATCCTAATGTTTTCGAAAATTTAATGTTTGTACATTCTGTCTTGTTACCTAAATATAAGAATGTTCTTTGTAATTTTTCTATATGAGTTTCATGGTATAATTTTAGAACAATTCTATGTTTTCTACTCTTTCCATAAATACTTTATTGACATGTAATTATCTATTAATATATTATTATACATTACTAATAATTAATATGATGTAGAGTTTTATAATAACGTTGGAAGTTCTAGGGACCAAATTATGCAAACTTAAAGTGACATATAATATAATTAATTAACAATGATAATTAATTTAGTTTAGTTAGTATTAGAATGCAATATCAAAAGAGAATAGAGGTAATATAGTCATTGGAAACTTTTTCTACAACTCCCTCTTTTAAAGGGACTATGATTTTATTTTATTCTCTTTAGAAAATATTTGTAGACAAGCAAAACTTTTTTGAGAACCCTTCTACATAAAGAGAATGCTTGTTGGCATCTTTGTGCATTTTGAGCCTCAAAGTATTATATCCCGTAAAGATGGAAAAGATCAAATCCAAAACATCCTACAAGGGGAGGAAGTTGTGATACTATTTTAAACTAAGCTCATTTGATGTTCACTTGGCTAAGCTATGTGCAGTTTTGTTTAATTTTACGTATCATAATTATCTTGTTGCCTACGTTAGGAACCTACTGTTTAATTTACTAGGTCAATTATAGCTCCTAAATTGAAATAAATTGTGCCCAAATGTGAAATGGGTGAAGATTATTGGTTTTTGGGGTGGACTTGACTTTTGTACGAGGGAAATTAACTAGGACTGGGAAATTGCATGTCAGCTTCAAAGGGAAGAAGTTTCAGAAATAAATTAAAGCTTTGACTTATTAGATTCCATTTTCAAGTTGCTTTTGGTGATGTATGAGGTGATGCCACGCAATCCGTTGATGAACCAAGTCAAGATCTCAAATAACTGAAATCCAAGATACCCCCTAATCCAGGCTCTCTCCGTAAATACTTAAATCTTGTTGAGGACTCTTTCAAATCCACTGTCTGTGACTCTGTGTCCATAAAAGGACATAAAGGTCTCTATGAAACAAGTAGCGACAAAGGATAGAAGACCTTTGCTTCAGTGCCCACCAGGGGTGGAATCGAATCGAATTTGAAGGAATAGTGCAATGTTTAAATTCGAGTTCGGTTTATATGATGCTATTCGTGTTCGAATTCGAATTCGATTCGAATAGTAATACAAATTCGAATTGGCTTCGTTTATTTATATTGATGTTTGAAAAAAAATTCGCGAATATTCAATTAGCGTTACTCCACAACTTTGATTTCAAATTATTCGTCAAATATTCGATATGTATTTGTTAATAATTCGAAAATCATAAAAAATAAATATAATCAGTAAACAAAAGGGTTTTTTTACCCTTCCAGTGAGAAAAAGCAGAGAATCACGGCTCGAAATCTCCAAGATCTGTAGAGATCGAGGGAAGTGGGCGTCGTCGCCGGGAGGGATGAGGGCGTCGTCGCGGGGAGAAGCGCAGGTCGTCGGAGAGGGAAGAGGGCGTCGTCACGGCGAGGGAGGACAGCGTCGGCGGGGAGGGAGGAGGGCGTCGGAGAGAGAGGAGCATAGGTCCTCGGAGAGGGAAGAGAGAGTCGTCGCGGGGAGGGAGGACGGCGTCGGGGGGTGGGAGGAAGCGGAAAGTGGAAACTCAGTGATCGTGAAAACCCTAGGCCCCTCTATGCCCATTTAAATATAGGTAGAAGTTGTAATAAAAATTTTGATGGGTAATATTTGCAACAAGTTTAATTAATAGAACTAACATATAAAAAGTTATCGAATAGTTAATAATCAATCGAATCGGATATATATTTAGTTAAATTCTATTTGTTTATAAGCCGAATACTAAAAAATATTTATTTAGTATTAAATGAACTGTCGGATCGAATATGACTGGATATCTGGATGAATATTAATCGAATTGTTTATTAAATATTTGGTTCGCTTCCACCCCTAGTCCCACTAGTCGTGAACACGACATATCATTTTTTTTCGTTACGATAATCCTGATTTTTAAATACTACAGTAATAAATTTTAAAATTTTTTGATTATTACATTTCTCGCCTTTACTACGTAAAAAAACTCAGTATTCTCGTGTGTTATAATGTTTTTTCAAAAAATTGCTACAGCGTCCAGTTCATGTTTGCTACAGTAATAACGCTACATCAAATGTACTATAGCATTTACTATAGTATGAATAGTGAATCTTAGGTTCTTCCATTTGTACAGAGGAATAGATATGGATCAGAACGATATAGAAAATTTGGAAACAATTATAGGGATAATTAATTTATAGCAAACTCTATGACGTATCCTCTAATTATTTTATAGGGTTATTTAGATATTATCCCTTCGCATCTTCAATAATTCAACACCGGTCTCTCAAAATTTTGGAATTGATCGCAAGTCCTACAAATCCTAAGGGTCTTGCAATTTGGCCCCTTGACGACCAAAGTACTCCTTAGCTTATGCGCCCCAAAAAACCCTGTAGTGTAAAAAAAAATGAAACGTAAAATGAGGGCTATTTCATATTTGTGTCATTAAAGAACCAAATTGCGTGATTCTTTAGGATTTGAGGCGTATATGAGAGCTATTTTAAAGATTTGAGAGGCTATAACATGGATTTTTTTGAAAATGTGAGCGACTAATATCTAAATAACCCTATTTTATAATGTATTAGGAAAAGACTTATAGTATTTATAGTAACTATAAAAATTTAGAAAATTATTATTATAATTATTTTCATAACAAATTCACAAAATAATTTGTAAAGCCTGATTTTGTTTCATTCGAAAACCATACGTGAAATTGGTCCCGATAGAGAAAGAAGGGAGACGAAGATCCTTACGTAGTTCGCGTTCTTTTTTTCCACGAGAGGGACCCACACACACAAACCGCCTCGTTTCCTCGTCCTTAATCTCCTTCGTTTCTTTTTCTTTTTTCTCTCTTTAACGAGAGGGTTAAATAATCAAAAAATGCCATCTTCTGAGGAAAAAAATAAAAAAAAAACTGAATTTTTTGACGACCCATTTCGTTTTTAGGCCTCAATGTTGTTGAGGAAACAAGGGTCTCTTTGATGGGTGTTTGATTTTCTTTTTCCCTGCTTTGTTATCAGAGAGAGAGAGAGAGAGAGAGGCCATGGGAAACTGCTTGAATTTTTTGAGCTCTAATGTGAAGTCTGAGAATGCTCGAGTCTCTGACAATGCATCTAGTGAGCATCTTTCTATCTTTTATTTATTTATGAAAGTTTGAATCTTGTGGAGTTTTTGGTCGTGTTTGCCTCAAATTATTGGTTTTTGCTGTTTTGTAGATTGGAATGTTGAGATTAAATGCTCCTTTTTTCCCCTGTTGAAACAAAGTTTGTCGTTTGGGGTTTCTTAAAATTAGGCTACAATGAAATAAATTTGATGAACTCTGCTTTTATTTATGCTTGGTTTTGGCCCTTTGGATTATCTTTTATTTCTGGGAGATGTTATAATTATTAGGAAATTGATCCCTTTGTTCTGAAAATGGAGTATAAAAGTAGAATTTTTGACAAGCTTGCTTACGCTTCAAGAGCACTTTAAATCAAGTTCCTCATCTCCACTCCAACTTCAAATTTGGGACCCTGTATTCTTTTATGGTTCACTCTATTCTTAAGTCAGATTTTTTTTTTTCCGGAAGATAAAAAAGTCAGAATTGATAATCTAGCCAAGAAAGCCTTATGACAGGTGAATTTGAATATGCATGAGAAATATGTGAATGCTGTATGGTTTTTGTTTCTCATTCTAGCCTTTTTTTTCCCGTACTAAAAGGTGTAAACAAATTTAGAAAATATCTATGCAGTTAGCCTTGATTGTGTAACTTATTCAATCCTGCCAGATATGCATATTGCCCATTTGCCAAATGCTTAAAAATTTATAATGTTCAATTATTTGACTGCGACATCGGAATCAAATGTTTCTGAGGCTATGCAACTTGTAAGCATCAGTTCATGGTCTAGGTTCTTTATTTGATGTTACAAATGTTTGGTACTTCTTCTGTGATTAAAATCTTTGCAAGCTTGAAAAGAATGTTCTATTTGTCCGCTACAAGATCATCCCTCAAGACCCACTGCCAAACCATGCATATCCACTGCTCCTGCCACTGTGGCAGCACGCTTAAGTCCTCTAACTCTTTCCATACCTTCTCATACTCAAGGGAGCAGCAGTGGTTCTCTTCCTACGCCACGAACCGAAAGTGAAATATTATCTAGCCGTAGTCTGAAGGCCTTCACATTCAACGAGCTGAAAACTGCAACTAGAAATTTCCGTCCTGACAGTCTTGTTGGTGAAGGAGGATTCGGTTATGTCTTTAAAGGTTGGATCGATTCACAAACGTTTACTGCTTCGAAGCCTGGTTTGGGCATGGTGGTTGCTGTCAAGAAGCTTAAACCGGAGGGTTCTCAAGGCCACAAGGAATGGCTTGTAAGCTCTTATATTTTGATACTTCAATCTTGAGTCTATTTGTTGTTTAACTGCATATGTAACTTGGCAGACAGAAGTTAATTATCTCGGTCAGCTTCACCATCCCAATTTGGTAAAGCTCATTGGATATTGTTTAGATGGTGGTCACCGGCTCTTGGTCTATGAATTTATGCCAAGAGGGAGTCTTGAGAACCATCTTTTTAGAAGTAAGTGTGGTATAGAATGACTCAATACGGTTGGTGACTTTGTTTTCCATTTTATGTCAAAACATGATGACTTAATAAAGCTTTTAATTGTTAGGTCCCCAAGCTTCTGAACCTTTTGCTATTACTTTGAACTTGGAAAAGAATAAATGAGTGACATGAACAACTAAGAAGTATATTATGCAATTATTTTTTGTGTAACATATCAATGAATTGTAATTGGTAATCGTCATACAGGAAGATTTAGTAACAGCACAAGGGTGTATTCATACGTTTCCTTAGTGTTGATTACTCTAATTATTCTGATAATTTTCATTTAACTGATACTTTCCAGGAGGTCCCCAACCTCTTTCTTGGGCAACAAGAATTAAAGTAGCCATTACTGCTGCCAAGGGACTCACATTTTTGCATGATCCTGAAAGACAAGTGATATATCGAGATGTTAAGGCTTCCAATATTCTTCTCGATTTGGTAGATTCTTGAATAAACTAGACACGCAAAATCTTTAGAAGATGAATCTGCTTCCAGGATGTCTTTTTCACATCTTATCTTGCTGTTACAAATGCAGGAATTTAATGCGAAACTGTCAGACTTTGGCTTGGCGAAGGCTGGCCCAACCGGAGATAAGACACACGTCTCTACACGAGTCATTGGTACTCAGGGATACGCTGCACCAGAGTATATTGCAACAGGTTCTTAAAATGCTATCTTGGCTTACGTAAAACTGAATTTACAATATGTAACACAGTTTCTAGATGTTTGAAACCTCTCATTAAGCTAATATAGATGATCGAAGCTTTGTATACTTGGTATTATATAACATAGTGTCTAGGTGCCTTCTCATTATGCAAATATAAAAAGCATGTTTGCAACTTGGAACGTTATGTCTAATGATTGCTTCTTCTTCATGATAACAGCATATGTCATAAGGTTTTATCCCTGTATATTCATATGTGTGTACTTCTATATAAATTCTTTCCATTCAAAGTCAACTGTATACCCTCTGCATGAAAAATGCTTTTCATTCAAGTTTATCTACATCTTATAGGGTGATTCAAGTAGTTTAAAAATTTTAACCTATGCATCGAATAGACCAAAACATTAGGTCGAAAACAACATGTGCTTAGAAATTAAATCTTTGGTCTGTGACATGCAACTTCTTGATCCAAACCATAACCATGATTTTAATGCGTAAAAATCCTTATGTATTGATTTTTTATTTGGTCTAAAGCATTCTAAACAATTAAAGTAAAGAACTTGCTAAGTCCTTTTTGTGTCTACCTAATGTACATGCAAGAAGGAGAAAAAAATCCATACCACTTAAGGGGCTGTTTGGTTGGTTTCTTTTGCCCCTGATTCCCTGCCAAAACTGACAGCTTGCTGTCAGTTTTGGCAGCTTTCTTGCTGTCAGTTTTGGCAGGAAATCAGGGGCAAAAGAAGCAAAACAAACAGCCCCTTAAACTTTTGATTTTAAGACAGTCTCATGATGCAGATCAGATGTATGTACATATATATGTCTCTATGTACATGTGTGTATTTGTGCATGTATCTATACACAATGAACCTGCCTACTATAATTACGAGACTTGTGTGAACTCCATACTGTGATGAGAATCTCTAGACAACGAAATCTTCTCACGATTAGTCTCCATTGCACTTGGTTGAATTGTAACAGACCGATTTTGCAGGTCGTTTATCTGCAAAGGCCGACATCTACAGCTTTGGTGTTGTGTTATTGGAGCTGTTATCAGGACGCCCAGCTTTTGATAGCTCAAAACCAAGTACAGAACAAAACCTCGTTGACTGGGCTAAGCCTTTTCTGGGTGACAAGAGAAAACTATTCCGAATAATGGATTCTAAGTTAGAAGGTCAATACCCGAAGAAAGTGGCCTATGCCTTTGCAATTCTCGCCTTGCAATGCATTAGCAATGATCCCAGGAAAAGGCCTTGTATGTCTGAAGTGTTGCCAGTGCTGGAGCAGCTTCAGGATCCAAAGAATGCAGATAAAATTCTCCAAAATGTACGTGTAAAATCAATAACCGGTAAGAAATCACCAATGGGGCATAATGCATTGCCACACCGGTCAGCTCCCAGTTCATCATCGCTCCAGCAAACTCCGGATGCCTCACCACTCCGGCGTACTCCGCCTAGATCACCCATTCGGCAGACTCCTGGTGGATCGCCATTTCGGCAGACTCCTGGTGGATCGCCTCTTCGACAGACTCCTAGTGGATCGCCTCTTCGGCGGACTCCTGGTGGATCACCCTTGCCATCCAATAGACAATCACCTAGCATGCATTGAGTTTGATTCACACATTTCAGATGGTATTTCCTTGCTCCCTTTTTTTACAAGGGTTAACTGGCAGACTCCTGGTGGATCACCCTTGACATCCAATAGACAATCACCTAGCATGCATTGAGTTTGATTCACACATTTCAGATGGTATTTCCTTGCTCCCTTTTTTTCACAAGGGTTAACTGGCAGACTCCTGGTGGATCACCCTTGCCATCCAATAGACATTCACCTAGCATGCATTGAGTTTGATTCACACGTTTCAGATGGTATTTCCTTACTCCCCTTTTTTACAAGGGTTAACTGGGGATGGACCCCCTGCATGTACTGTCGCCTAATTGAACTTACTACCCTATAGTTCTATTGTTGCAGATAGACCCCCACCTAGGTGACTTTTTGTTTTCAATTGGCTTACCCTAGCGTTATAACGCCGGCTTCAACCAAGGTCTGGATGTTATTCTTGAGAGCTAAGCAATCCTTGGTAGGATGGAGGATCCTCCTGTGGTACTCGCAGTATGTTGGATCCGCAGAATCGTTATCTTCCTCCTGATGCGTGATGGGCGGGAGTTTGATTTTGTTGTTTTCGAGAAGGGTCTCGAAGATAGCTGGAACGTCTTCGTCTTTGAACGAGTACTCGTTTTGGAGCTTCTCGTCCGAATTCTCCTGTTGTTCCCAGGACTGCTGTTGTGACGTTTGATTATCGTCAATAACCGTTGCAGGTACGTCCCCTTCATCATGAGGTACGAGATCCGAATCCAGAGGATTAACCATCGGTTGGTTTCTCTCGACCTTCCGCCTTCTGATGAAGCGTTCAGCCTGTTCTCCTCGAGCCTTCAACTCTTTCCAGGTATTGAGCGGCTCTATTCCCATCACGTCCAAGATGTTAATGGACAAGTTGTTCTGACAAGTCTGCAAGAGGAATTCCTCCGTGACGGGATCCCTGCAGTTCATTGCCTGATTGCGGAAGCGTTTGATGAAGGTATCCACCGACTCTCCGCCTTTTTGTTTCTCGTCGAAGAGTGTCCTGATCGACACCTCGGTGTCATCATCGAAGAAATGGGCGAGAAACATGCCTTCCAAGTCCTCCCAGCTGTTGATGCTTCCGGGCTTGAGACGGCGGTACCAATCGAAGGCAGGCCCGCGAAGGGTGCCAACGAATGACCGAACCATCAAGGGTCCGTTGCCAGAGATCACCCCCAAGTGGGACTTGAAGTAGATCAGATGCTGAGTGGGCGAACCCTTCCCGCCGAACGGCGTGAAGTTGATCAGGTTGAACTTCGCCGGATACGGGATCGAATCCCACTCTTTCGGGTAAGGACACGGAATGCCGGTCCTCTTCACCTCCCGAACAGACATCAGGGCTTCGATTTTTCTTTCGAGCTCCTTTATCTTTCAAAGTGAAAGTTGAAAAATATTAACAAAATAATCACATTTGAGATGACTATATCCAACAATTTTGATGATTTATTCTATAGCACACACAAAATGGAGCAGATCTTTGTGTATAATCATTAGGAACTTTACAAACATGTTCACGAGATTCCCCAATGCATATAATTTTTCCTTTTGATTGCAGGACACCTTTGATTAATCCCGATCGCAATATGATGGGATCTATTGGACGCATTTTCCTCACTTTTGAACTTTTAAAATAGAACACAAAATATAACAGAAATGACAAGGTGAGCGCATGGTCCTTGTTATGTATTCTGTATAAAGAATGAAGAGTAGCTGAAAAAGAAATTGAAAGAAATGTTATTAGCAATGTAATATCTTTCTTATGTCCTCCATGAGATTATTCTGTGTAAATATGCAGGCAGGTCGTGGTTGGTGTTTCTGTTGTCCATGTATGTATGTGGTGGTATATATGTGTGCATGCATGTGTGTATGTGTACGTGTTATGTGTGTGGTAGTGTGTGTCTGCATGTCAGTATTTTGTATGTGCGCGCGCACGCACGTTGATCCAGGGCAATGCACATTTGTATCATAAATTTCAGACTTGGTGTCTTTCTACATGTACATTGGACATGAATATTAAGCATTTCTGTGTTTACATGTTGATAAGTGTCTACATCATTATTCAATTATGTTCGATTATTATATATGACAAGCATGCGTGCCTATTGTTTAACAGCTCTTTATACGTCTATCGTCCATTGCAAAATTATTCCAGTGTTTCAAGATTGAAAATTTAATACATATAATATGTCTCATTTTGCTCGATAAAGTGGTTTGTATTCTGTATTCTACCTACAATCGAATCGATCACCAATCACTTGGTGGTTTCTATATGTTTTTTCTTTTGGCAGATTTTTTTTACCTGATCTTGATGCACAAAGAAGTTTGGTGTTTCACAATTTATACGTTTAACAAACCTCTTTTCACTCGAATAGTGCCTAATTGCACGAAATAGCACTGTTTAGCACTTAAAAAACCAGTGATATTTCTCTCTCTCCCCCCTCTCTGTCCCCGCCTCCATTAAAATCTGAAACCCCTCGCCGTCTCCTTCATCATTCTTTCACCTTCTTCGGTGACCACCTCCGGCGTGCATCAAAACCTCCAATGAGATCCATCTCCGGCTATTCTCCAGCAGCACCACCCTCTTCGGCTATTCTCCACCATCTCCTCCGCAGTTCTTTTGCCGCTATTTTACCGCTACAAGTACAAACAGTCTTGCGATATCTCACCGCTACGCGACGGTGTTCCCTATCGATATCTTTGACTGAGCCTAAGTTTGTGCATCATTGATGCCATTGTTGTGGCGGGTGTGACTTTGCTTTTTTTTTTTTGACTTGATAATTTTGAGTTTATTTCATGAGTGAACCAAGCACATCAAGATTGATTGATGTGGAACAAGCTCGCATTGTTGTGCACAAAAATTATTTTTTTCCATCTATTGCAACATCTTGCTGTTACCTTATGCAAAGTTTTGCCTTTTTACAGAATAATTTGAGAGCCAGCATTAGGTGTATAAAAATAAATATGTCTTATATTCAGTAACATATTGTTCTCCACCAAGTAATAATAATAATAGTAGTTGTTGTAGTAGGTGCTTTGTTGTCACCAAACCTTATCATTATCCTTCTATATAAATTTGGACACCAGCCCAATACGGAGAGATAAAGCCTTTTATTATGTGACATTGTTCTCGACCAATTAACATTGTTCTTTTTAGGAACTTTAAATATTTTTTAGTAGATATTTGCATAAAAGGTAGAACCAATTTGATTAGTTCATGTCCATCTTAGGTGCAGAGGAGGGGGGAAAAGTATTTTAAATTAAAAAAAATAGTTATATTACTCAGCACATTGTGTCGAAAAGATTGATATTTTTTTATGGTATAAATGCATCATGTCCATCTCAAAAGAAAAGGCTATACATGTTGGTCTCTTGATGCAAAAATAGGAATAAATAAATAAATAAATTCATTTGACAGTATTAAAAAATCTCTCTCAAAAAAATTAAAAAAAAAGGAACAGGGGAAAAAGAGAAATAAAATAGAAAAGATTATTTGCACATAAACCCCTTACATCATGGGTATTTGCAAAACTAACCTCTAAATCCTAGTATTTGCAAAATTACCACTTATATCTTGAACTTTTTAAAAAAAATGCCCCTAGAATCAACAAATCATCACTTAATGAGTATAAAATTGGCTATTTTGTTTTATAACTTTTACATTGCAGCTGTAAATTGGCCTATAAAAGTTGATGATGGATAGATCTAGGAGTAATTTATCCAAAATTGATGATTTGATGAATAGTTTTGTAAATATTAAGATTTAGAGGATAGTTTTATAAACAGCCATGATTTAAGGGATATATATGACGATAGACAACTTACAAACTAAAATCTGAAAGAAAATAGCATCACCCCCCTAGTGGGCCCAACTTCATTTCAGCCCAATCTAACCGAAATAAAATAACCGCGTTATCTGAAAATGCAATATTATGAGTTGAAAGGCCTTTTTACGCAAAATCCTCTAAAAACTTCGAAGACCGGCGAGAGGGGTTTGTTCAAAAAGTTAAGAGTCCTCTTCCTCAAAATCTTCTTAATATTCGAGCTTTTGACGACGTGGGTTTTGCTCTATTCATTCAGGTAGGAAAGTCTTCCCCTTTAATTTCGTGCGCGATCTCTTTGATCCGATCGAATTAACTTCACAAAGTAGTTCTCTTAGACTAATCTTGAAATGGGTTTTTGTTAATTTATCCATTTGATCACTTTTTCGAGGTCTAATTATGCTGGGTCGTGTAATAAGTCAATGTTGTTGAGGTTATAGTTGTTTGTTTTTACTGTAAATTTTCAGGTGGTGATGATGATCGAAGCTTGATTTTTGATCTTGATTGATTTGTGAAAGATGGTGTTAGTTCTAGCATTAGGTGATCTTCACATCCCTCATAGGGCAGCTGATCTGCCTGCCAAGTTTAAGTCAATGCTCGTCCCCGGAAAGATTCAACACATAATTTGTACTGGAAATCTATGCATTAAGGTACTTACGGAGTCTTGCGTATTATATTTTGATAATGCTTACTTGTAGATTGTTTGATCAGTAATTTATTGTTGATTGGTTTTTTGATTTGCTGAGTGTGGCTCTGATACCGATTATTGAGTTGAGAAGAGTTGTGGACATTAAGAAATATTTTGTTATTATTATTTTTTAGTAATACAACTCTCTATGCTCTCCCCAATACAACACTCTTTACTATAAGCTACTACATTACTATACTCATTTACAACACACTACTCTTTCTCTTATTCTTTCTCCCTCTCTTTATTTCTTTCTTTGTTTTCCTCTCTTGATACCGGAATGCATTACAACTAAGCTTGAGGGGATTTATATAGACTAAGCTATATATGGTTATCGTACACTATATTAGGGTAGCTGGTTACTATATGGTTGGTGACTTGGTAGGCGAAGCTCTTGGTAGATGAGAGAGAAGTGATGCTGATTTTAACACTCCCTTAGCGAAAACTTCTTTATCCATGAGTCTAAGAGCCGTAATCTCTTTTTCAATGCTTGAATATCTTCTCTCACTGTTTGTCTCCATTCTTTACTCTTGTATGCTTCTTTGAAGGTAGACACTATAACTGATTTCTTCAAAGAAATATACGGGAGTGAAGAACGGAAAGTTCGTCAACATGGATTATACTAGGAATTTTCATTCTTCACCCCGTATGCTTCTTTGAAGAAATCAGCTACAGTAAATATTAGATCATCGATTCTGGCTGTTCCAATCACATGATGGGAGGTAAGTTAAAGCTCATCAACATTGACTTCTCTAAACAAGACGATTGTTGACTTCTCTAAACAAGACGACCTGATGGTAGCTGCTATAACTACAAGAAAAAATGTCACTTCGCTAGAGATTGTCGCTACTAGAGAAGACCGGCAGAGGGCAATGTTGTAACATCGCACAGATGTCAAGATGATGATTAAAAATGGAATGTCCAAGCATCTGTAGTCATTGTTGAAAATATATCAGTTGACGAAGAAAAAGCTATTTATATGATGACACTAGCCTCGATCGTGGAGGAATTTGAGCCCACACTTGCAGCGATTTTAAATCGAGAAGAAATTAGCTATGCTGAAGATTGGATCATTGATTCTGATTGTTCCAATCACATGACAGGAGATAAGAGAAAATTAGTCAACATGAAGAAGTATAGAGGCGACTGAGAAGTTGTCAATATGAAAGAGTATGCTTGAAATTTTTATTTTTCAATCCTGTATGCTTCAGAAATATTGTAATCCCACAATCGGATGGTGCTACACATCGTGAAACGTAGTGTTTGACGAAGCCTTATATTAGTGGACTCCACAAAAAGTTATCCCAAACTCTAATGATCTAGAGGATCAATTACAGAATAAGTTGGAGAAGCCAAATCAAGAAGAAATGTCACATCAGTTAGAGAAGATAGAACCAACTTCTCCCACATCTTCTAAGGGAAAGAATCTACAGAAGGCTGATGTTCATCAGATAACATCAGAAGAAAAGCACTCGAGTCAGACAGAAGGTATCTAAGAATAGCCAACAGGACCATTTCACAAATTGACCAGACATAGGAAATCAAATCCCAAGTATGCTAATATCGCCATTACGAAAGATGGAAAGAACCATTTACCTTCAAAGAAACATACTGGAGTAAAGAATAGAGAAAAGCAGTGAGAGAAGATATTCAAGCATTGAAAAAAATATTGCATCTCTTGAACTTATGGATAGAGAAGTTACTGCTGAGGGGGAGTGTTAAAATCAGCAACACTTTTTTTTTACCTACCAAGAGCTCCACCTACCAAGCCACCAACCATATAGTAGCCATCTACCTAGTATAGTGTAAACCGACAACATAGTTTAGTCTATATAAATCCCTTCAAGTTCAGTTGTAATTCATTCCAATATCAATAGAGAAAGACAAAGAAAGAAATAAAGAGAGTGAGAGAATAAGAGAAGAAGTTTTATGTTGTAAAAAAGTACAGTAGTCTAGTAGCTTGTAGTAGAGAGAGTGTTGTATTGGAGAGTATAGAGAGTTATACTACTAAAAACAAGTATGAAGAGTTGTACTACAATTAGGTCGTCTTACTTGGCGATTACCTTGCTTCTTACTCTGACGTGCTCATCTGGTGTATGAACTTCCTGGCTGCATATCTGAGTTATCATTTGCATATTGCTTGCTTCGTTCCTTATTGCTGAATAGCGCCTCATCTTCACTTCTTATTGTTCTGCTATATAGCAAGCAAACTCTCCAACTCTAATAGTATTGGTTGAGTCGGCCAACTGTGTGTAGCAACAATGAGACCGTGGTACTCTGGTCTCAAATCATGGATGATTATTCTTCTCATCCTTGCATCGAACACTTTAGAATTTAGATCTAGTTGAGCAATATCTTAATAGAATGTTTTTACATACTTTAAGTACTAACTGATTGTCAGATCCTTCTGTCTCAAGGTCCTAGTTGATTCTCAAGGAGCTGAAGTCGAGCGTCGTTCGTTTTTGTTAAGAGTGTGGTGAGCGTGTCCCATGCCTCTTTTGGAAATTTGGCATCTCGCATATAGTTTACAAGATCTTCTACTGTCATCTTCAACACATACATAGCCTTGTTGGCTTTGATGTTCCACTTCCTTAGTGTTTCGCCAGCTTTCTGAGGTGATGTAGTTTCGACACCCCTGATGATCTCCCAAAGGTCTTATCATTGCAAACAAGACTTCATACAAGTCTCCCAGTAGGTGTAGTTGTCGTCGTTCAATTTCTTAAGTGTAGTAGTAGTACTTGCCGGATCCGTCATTATGATGTGGTACACTCTTCAGTATCTCCACGCAAGTGTGGTCCTTGACTAACTAACTTCACAGTTCCGGACTGAGCACAGATTTTGGCCTACGATAACGCGGATAAGATCACCGTAGGAGAGAGTTGGTCCCTGACCTTCTGCTCTGATACCAATTGTTGAGCTGAGAAGAGTGGTGAACACTAAGAAATATTTTATTATTACTTTTTTTAGTAATACAACTCTTTATACTCTCTCCAATACAACACTCTCTCTACTACAAGTTATTACACTACTACACTCTTTTACAACACACTACTCTTTCTCTTATTCTCTCTCCTTCTCTTTATTTCTTTCTTTATTTTTCTTTCTTGATACTGGGATGCATTACAACTGAGCTTGAGGGGATTTATATAGACTAAGCTATGTGGTTGGTGTACACTATTTAGAGTAGGTGAAGCTCTTGGTAGTTGAGAGAGAAGTGTTGTTGATTTTAACATAGTTTGCATCATTAGTTGAGTACCATCATTTCAATGGAACACCGTCACATCATAAGCCGGTACTTATAGCTACTCCGTGGAATAAGTCGTTCATGAGCTTGACTTTACAATATGCCAATGTATCGTTCTAATGGTTGCTGAGAAGTTCAACAAAAATTGGCCCTAAAACTCATAAAACTTGAGAGCAAACAATACATCTATAAGACCCACCCTAACTGCAAGACTGCATGCCTCTGCTATTTCAATCCTTGTGGATGATACTTGTATGAACTTGCTCTCATTCATGAGATCTTCCTCGCAGACCGGCCTAGCTACTGCTATATTTGCGACCTCAGATTAGATTGTAAACCTGTTGGGTCTAGTCCTTCGCAGATCGAAAATTAGCAAATGGAATGAAAGATGATGGATTCTCATCTTCTGCATTCAACTATGTAATTTCTGACCTTATGCAAGATATGTGCATTTGTTCCAGCTATAAAGATGTTTCCTTCTTTTTAGTATACACACTCCGACACTCGTCTGTTTGTCTAATATGTCCACGACTTTCTTTGACATTCCAAAAAGTTAGTCTGGAATTATAGTTACAGAATATTGTAATTTAAACAATCATTTTCTACGTTGTCATGCAGTCAATTCCGTAATCTTACACCATGTCAGTAGGTTGTGAAAAGTGTTAAAGATATGGGAAATATGCTCATTATTTTTCATACTTATAGATATTGCAGTAACTGGAAGATTTGTACTGAAGCATGATTTTCCTAGAATGATTCCATCGAGTTAGGTGACCTATTCTTCGAGATTGTGATGCATCATCACTTATTCTTGGCAATATCCGTTCACTTAGTGTAATTAATTAATCAATTACCAGACATTAGATATATTGTTGATTTACTTCATGAAGGATCGAATTAAGTTTAGTCCCTTTGGCGAATCTAATTACCATTAGCAAATCTTTATTAGATCAAAATGAGTCTCTTTCCACGTAATAAAATTTCTAATCTGAATAATATGTTTGTGCTCTCTGCTTCCTAGTGAGATTGGGAAATTGGAACCTAGGTATGCTTGCTCTCACTTTCATATGGTGGTAAATAGAGATTTTTTGTGGGACAATTTCTACTATTTTTAATGTTAATGTTAAATAGTTTGTGGTTGATTTCTCTAAAAGATCTAAAGTATTCTGATATATCTACAGGGGACCAGTTTCTTACAGTGTCTAAAGAAATTAGACACAAATACCACTTAGTGTAATTTAATTACTAGACATAGATATATTGTTAAATTATTTCATGAAGGATAAAGAAAAGTTTAGTTCCTTAAGTTAATCTGATTACCATTAGCAAATCTTTATTGCATCAAGAGTCTTTTTCCATGTGATAAAATTTGTAAACTGAATCATATGTTTGTGTTCTCTGCTACCTATTGATATTGGGAAGAGGGAACCTTGGTATGGTTGCTTTCAGTTTCATAAGGTGGTAAATAGATTTTTTTTTGTGGGGCCTTGTGGGGCCATTTCCACTAGTCTTAAATATTAACGTTAAATAGTTTGTGGTTGATTTCTCTAAAAGATCTAAAGTATTCTGATATACCTACAAGTAATTAGTTTCTTGCATGTCTAAAGAAATTGGACACAATTACGATTTAGTGTAATTTAATTACTAGACATAAATATATTGTTGAATTATTTCATGAAGGATCAAACATAGTTTAGTTCCTTAAGTGAATCTGATTACCATTAGCAAATATTTATTGGATCAAAATGACTCTTTTTCCATGTAATAAAATCCGTAAACTGAATAGTATGTTTGTGCTCTCTGTTACCTATTGACATTGGGAAGTTGGAACCTTGGCATGCCTGCTCACAGTTTCATGAGGTGGTAAATAGAATTTTTTTTGTGGGACCATTTCTACTAGTCTTAGATGTTAATGTTAAATAGTATGTGGATGATTTCTCTAAAAGATCTAAAGTATTCTGACATACCTACAAGGGATCAGTTTCTTACAGTGTTTGAAGAAATTAAACACAAATATCATTTCATAAAGAGACATACTGTAGTAGTAAATCTATAAAAAAGAAAATTATTGACGGCTATATGAGTCTATGACACAAGCATCAAGCATATCAAGATTCATTGAACCGAATGAGTAAGAAGAGATTACAAATAATATATTGTTGGGGTCAGAAATTTCAATCCATGTGGATAAATCTACTTATGAATGCAGTCTCTAATAAGAGTTTAGTGGTTAGATTTATCGAACTTGTAGCAATCAAAACCCATTCTATCTTTTAGATTTTGGCTAATACCTATATTTCATGTAAAATACCTAGAACTTAATATGAAATTATTACATAAATTCCATTGACCTTTTCAATATGTGTGCTTATGTCAATGTTGTAAAGGATAGATTATTTGTGGACTCTATGTAAGCACCCTAGAAGATCTTCCTTTACTAGTATAAGTCTCCTTGTACCGCACATCAAGAAGGCAAATGGGTTGTGTATTGTCTAATTGCAAAATGGACAGAAATAAACTTGATATACGTTCACATTTACAGGACAAGAAAATTGTGAAAGGAATAAAAAATAATGGGAGATATTGGTTTTGTTTCTTGTGAAATCCCCCTCCCCCCTTTCTTGTCAACTCCCTATGGTTGATGAAGTTTTTTGGGGTTTTGTTTCTTGTGAAATCCCCCTCCCCCCTTTCTTGTCAACTCCCTATGGTTGATGAAGTTTTTTGGGGCAGCATCTGTTACCATTAATTGCTCGCTATTAGGAGTTGATTGCAACTCCCAAAACATAGGAAGCAGGAAATAAGAGAAAAGGGAAAGGATATGAAAATTATACAACAACAACAACAACAACAAAGCCTTTATCCCAAATGTTTTGGAGTCAGCTATATGAATCCTATTTTTCCATTCCATTCTATGGAAATAAGAGAAAATGGAAAGGATATGAATGATTTATGGAAATATTTTTATATTGGATCCAAAGTTGGACTTATATGAAAAAATAGGGTTTTACACGAATCCTTACTTGGAATCTATGTTGTATTTGCGTAAGTCTTATGGGTATGTTATACCTATTCTTGGTTTGAACTGGAATATTGCTGCAATATTCTTCAGTTTTTATATTTTTTGTTTTACTTAATATTTTAAACTGTTAAAATATTCAGCTGAAGTTTTTCTTTGCTGTACTTTTTCCCCTTTAGGTGCATGAGGATAAACTGTCCATCTATTTAGTTCTTGTCATCCTTTTCGAGATGTAAATAAGTCGCAAATTTCAGAACAGTTATTGCCATATTATTCCCATTGTTGAAGCTGTGTTGATAGTCCTTGTGTTCCTCATTGTGGTCAATATAGTATGTATATTTGGATAGTTAATTTGGTTGTCTAATTTGTCATTTTCATTATAGAGTAAAACTGTAAAAGTTTTATTAATAAGAGGTATAAGCTCCTGGCCATCACTTAAGACTGTTTTTTTTAATCAAATACATCAGTTTGCTTGTAGTAATTCGATATTGTTTAATGCAGGAAATTCATGACTACTTGAAGGGCCTTTGTCCTGATTTGCACATTACTCGGGGGGAATACGATGAGGATGTCCGTTATCCAGAGACCAAGACTCTTTCCATTGGTCAGTTCAAGCTTGGGCTATGTCATGGTCACCAGGTTGGTTTTCCCCAACCTATACGTGTCCTTGTCTTGACCTCATGTGGTAACATTTCTTTTATGATCGCTAATTCATGCAATGGAATTTCAATGGCCGTTATTATCCTTCACAGATTCTAATCCATGTTTTGTAGCGGAAAAAAAAGCCTTCCAGATATCCTAGTTCCCATAACTTAAACTACGCATGCACAATCTTAAACTAGAAAAGGATAACATAAAAAAGGATAATATAATCTTATATTAATTTCCTTAAAGCAAAAATTTTCAGGTATAAATTTAAGGGTTAGCTGTCGATACACCCTCGATACTTTAGGGCTCAGCCGCTTAATGCCCACTTTTACGGATGCTGAGTTCTCTTCTTTATTTGCACTTGTACTATAGAGGGTATACGTCAACGCTTACAGAAAATAGAAATTGGTGGCTAACCTCCAATGGTGAAGGGGATGTAAGCCTAAACTTAAACTACTTCTGATGTATTTCTCACGTGAGTGACATATCTACTCTTTTAGGTTGTTCCATGGGGTGACTTGGATTCATTAGCCATGCTTCAGAGGCAATTGGATGTCGATATTCTTGTAACAGGGCACAGTCACCAATTCAAGGCCTACAAGCACGAGGGAGGTGTCGTCATCAACCCCGGGTCAGCAACTGGTGCCTACAGCAGCATCACCTACGATGTTAACCCAAGTTTTGTGCTTATGGACATTGATGCTCTTCGAGTGGTGGTGTATGTCTATGAACTCATCGATGGAGAAGTGAAGGTTGACAAGATCGATTTTAAGAAGACAGCAACTGCACAGTCTGCTCACTGAGTTCTTCAACGTTTGTGATTCCTCAAGTGTTTCTTGATTTTGGTTTTTGTTATGCTAGTTAAGTTGGAATAGAAACTGCACAAGACTTTGATTAGCTGTCTACGTTCACTGCAAAAATTTAGTATCTCTTTCCTGGTTTAAGCAAATAACTTCTGTGTCAAATGTCTCAGGTTTTCTACATGAGTTTTTGACTCTATTGATTCACTCTTGTAATTTTGGTTATTTTCTGTATTATGATTTGGAAATAATTTTATATTTATTTGCTACTGAAAGCATTCATTGCTCTATGCTCAAGTGTGAGATTTGCATCCTTTTTGTGTTTCACTTTTTTTATTCTAAATCGTAACACGAAGACGCTTCACTGAAAGAGGTAATTCTTCCATGAAGAAATCAGGCTACATCGATTAAACTTCTCTTGGGGTGTGTTTGGTTAGGTGTACTTGTGGGAAAAAAAAAATAACAAAAACATTTGTAATATAATGCAGTTTCTGACTATGTTGGAAGCACACTCTTCAATCTAAACACGCTGCAAACAACTCACGTAATTAGCTGATTTTCTGTTCTCAGCAACTTGTTGTTTAAAAACGTTTAGGGGGTGTTTGGGGAGCTTATTTTTTGGTCAAACTAACTTTTAAGTTAGCGTTTTCATATTTATTTGTTTGGTAAAATACCAAATTAAGTTGATTTATAAGTCTTATTTTAAAAAACCGATATACTCCAACTCTTAAAAAATAGCTTATAAGCTCACGTAAATAAGCTAGGTTTGACCAAAGAAATTGCTATTCTACCCAAACAATGTTTATAGCATTTTTACCGTGAAAGCCAAAAGCCGCAAAAGCCAACTTAACTTATAAGCTTCAAAGTACTGACTTTAAAATACTGACTATTTTTTCGATTTTTGTAAAATACTGACTTTAACATACAGGAGACTAGTAGTCCCCTGTAATTAGTGATCGCTAATTACGGTTAATCTGAAATGGTCGTCTCATGTACTTTGTGCTGAAATTCTTAAGGTTTAATAAATGAGAACTAGATACACGAGACTACTAGTCTCGTGTATTTCAGACCTAAATTTTTGCAAAGTCGACCTCTTTTTTGAAAAAGAGGTAGATTTTGCTAATAATTTTACAAAACGATCGACTTTTGCTAATTAACTTTTAAAAAGAGTCTTTTTTAGAAAATTCTCCGCCGCACTGAATGATTTCTGACTGCTAGAGAGAAAATACAAATCCAACCAATAATATGAAGCAAATCCAAAAGCGCACTAGCAAATAGAATTTCCCGTCAAATTGCAAATATAAACATACCGGTTTTACATCCAGAGATCTTCCTCCTCCCCCTCCTCCTCCTCAAAAAGAAAACCTGTAGAGCATTTGATGCTTATAGACCTCCCCAGGCTTCACAACCTGAGAAGGGAAATTAGGCTGGTTAACCGCGTTAGGAAATCCTTGGGTCTCCAAACACAGGGCTCCGTACTGAGGATAAACATGCCCGTTCTTCCCCCTGACGTCCTTCAAGAAATTCCCAGTGTAGAACTGAACCCCCGGCTGGTTGGCCCAGAGCTCCATCGCCCTCCCCGACCCCTCGCAGTCCTCGACGACCACAACCTTCCTCATCCCGTTCTCCGCCGGAGAATCCAGCACGTAGTTGATGTCGTAGCCTCCCTTCACCCTCTGCAGGTCGGCCCCCACCTCCTTTCGGCTCCTGGAAGTCGTAGGGAGTTCCTTGAGACCGGAGGTGAACTCGCCGGTCGGAATGAGTGGAGCGACGCGTGGTGGTGATTCTGGAGCCGAAGATTGGACCCTGTGTAGGTTCAGGAGTAGTGGCCTGCTGCCGTCCTTGGGCGAGGTTGACTGGGGTCGCCTTGTTGAGGGGCGTTGCTTCCATGGTCACGCTTAGCTCGTAGTCCGCTGAGATTTTGTAGGTTACGTACACATCGAGTGCACCGGGGAAACCTGCACAAAGGATGGCGAAGCGTTAAGGTTACGTGATCATTTCTGTTAAGGACCATGGGAGGCGCTACAGTCACACCCACAACCGCAACCACACTCCTCTCTCGCTACAGTGCACTGGGGCGCACATGAGAATTTTTAAGCACATGAGAATTTTTTTAAAAATTCTCATGTGCGCCCCAGTGCACTGTAGCGAGAGAGGAGTGTGGTTGGAGGTGTGGTTAGGGGGTGTGCCTCTAGCATTTTCCAAAGACTATATATCTCCTACGTTGACTATTATCATATTCGATCCCCCAAACTATTGTTTCCAACAAAACTCTGTTAGATGAATTGTGTCTAATTCTTTACCTCTTATTAAATATAATGTAATCACTCACTTTTTTTTACGTTCCTTATCCTTAGAATGACATTCATAAATCAATCTTTGGATTCATGAAGATGGTAATTACGAAAATTGATGAAGATATAACTCTACATAAGAAATATACAGACAATGAGACTGGTAGTTGGAATGAGATATGTAAATGAGAAAATAACAGCCTCGATCGGCTAGGTACGTTCATGCTACTATGTTTGAATCTTCAATAAGAGGAAATGCTAAACAGAAGTCCAAGTTTCTAAATTATGTAACAAATTCAAAATACATTAAGAAGGAACGTTGGAAAAAAATTTAGAAAATACAATCTCTACGGTTTATATTATGAAAGGATTACATTTCATATACTTAAGAAAAAGTACAAAGTTGTAAATGGCTATTACCTTGCTCCCCATCAAAACTGTGGTAATACAATTTGATGAATGGAGAATCGCCATCAATATGCTGTACTACAGTCCAAAAGTTATGGTTGAATCCTCTGTGCCCACCTGAATTAAAAGCACAAAATCTAGTTGAAATTACTAAAACAGTTGGCTATTTATGATCACTTCTATTTTCTATTTATCTGTGAATTAAAAAAAGCATACCGTGAAGACAATTCTTTCCATCGTTGGGATATAATCTATACGGAGTTCCATCCAGAACAAATCGTGCTCCTGCGATTCTATTCGCAACTCTTCCTACTAATGCTCCGAAGTAAGCAGTAGTATTCTGAAATTTCGAAATAATACATTTTTACTTCTCAATTAAATAAACGATAATGGATGAAATATTTTGAGAGAATAATGAAGAAAGGAGCCAAGTGAACACCCCACAGAGGGCGTGATCCAAAAAAATAAAAATGAAAATAAAGAAATCACCACAACTCATTTTTTTAAGCTTGATCATGGAGTGAGGAACACCCCCTGGTCACCACGATAGGGGAATGAAAAAAATCAACAAACTTGTCTCATTCGAATATTTTAGGTTAAATACAAAAGACTACAGCTCATCAGTAAGTTAATCTTATAACCTGTTAGCAGAAACCAAGGTTAAATATTTTAGGTTAAATACAAAAGACTACAGCTCATCAGTAAGTTAATCTTATAACCTGTTAGCAGAAACCAAGGTCATGTGCAATCATATTATATAATCAAAATATGTAACTACATTAACTACATAATAAATCAATTTTCTCCAAACATATATATAGTTAAAATCCCTCTAACCGATTAGATCAAATTCTGAGGTTGTGACGAAGGTTGAGGATTATATTTTTATATTAACTCGATCTAATTTAAATTTAAGTCTCTTAAACTATTAGATCAAATCTGCAAAGTCATGCTTTAAGTGCTGAGAATTATATTTTTACTTTAATTGTAACCCATATAGCTAGAAGATAAAAATAAGAGATACTGAGAGAGGAATGAAACTTACAGCATACTGGCCAAATTTTTCGTACCCAAGAACAATATCACTCAGTTTCCCTGCAGATCAACCAAACAAAAGAAACCAATAAAGATTCAAACTTTTTGGCATTTTGAACAAAACCCGTGTCTCAAAATCTCACCTTGTGAATCAGGAAGGACAACAGAGAGAATGACTGCACCCAAGTTGGACACTTTAATGGAGAAATCTCCCTTCTTGATCTCATAAACCTTTGCCACCTTCTTCTCTAGGAGCTTCCTTTGAGAAGCAATGGAGTTGCCCACCAATGAGAGCAGAAGGAGAGAGATCAAAAACGAGACTGACGCTTTGGCCATGGCTTAATTATAACAAAAGAAATTGAGAACGTGAGGAAAACGAAATAGAAGAAGAGGTATTTATAAATTAAAGAGGGAGGAGAGAGAAAAGATTTTGCGAATTTGGGTAGTTCCGAAATTTCTGTTGATCAGAACGGAGATAAATTAACAGCAGAATCAGATAAGACTGGATTTAGAGATCCAGCAGATAATATCAATATCAAAGCTCAATCTTTCTTCCGTAAAATGTGATGGGTTTGAGACTTTTTTTTCGTAGCAAAAGTTTGGAAGGCTGTTTTGGTTCTTAATTTAATTGACTTTTTTATCGTCAGCGCGTATGTGGAGCTATCAGCTTTATTCGGCCAGTATCGGCAACTGCACGTAGATGTTTTAGTTTATTTTTTTTTAATTTTTAATTATATATTTGGAATCTTCCTTGTTTGTATAATCCTTAGAGATTTGAGCTTTGGTCTCTTCCAAAAGTAACGTTGAAATTCTTGTCATCTAAATGTTTGTTCTAATAGAGATTGCTACTTTTGTCAGCAATCTCTATTCCAAAGATTCTTCTTTTTTATCGTCAGCGCGTATGTGGAGCTATCAGCTTTATTCGGCCAGTATCGGCAACTGCACGTAGATGTTTTAGTTTATTTTTTTTTAATTTTTAATTATATATTTGGAATCTTCCTTGTTTGTATAATCCTTAGAGATTTGAGCTTTGGTCTCTTCCAAAAGTAACGTTGAAATTCTTGTCATCTAAATGTTTGTTCTAATAGAGATTGCTACTTTTGTCAGCAATCTCTATTCCAAAGATTCTTGCGGATGTAAGATGCCTCCACCTGCAAATTAAAGGACAAATTTTCAAAACCAAACCCTTTCACTATTTATTTTCCAAAAACGACCGCTTTATAAAAAATTTAAAAACCGACCTAGTTTCAGCACTGAAGCTGAAACCAGATCGGTTTTTGAAAATTTTTATCCGAAACTTCACGGGAGTTGAACTCCCGTGAAGTTTAGTAAAACTGCTAAACTTCACGTGTTTTACTAAACTTCACCGGAGTTGAACTCCCTGTAGGCTGTCTAAAAATCACAATGGATAGCTGATCCAAACAAGTCCTGACAATAGGAGTTACAATCAGACGACTCCCCAATCACTGCATTCACAACTCTGCCACCGCTATAAACACGGCCTCATCTCCGAGAAATAAAAGGTTGGACTT